TATATATATATATATATATATTCATCTTTAAAATTCTTAAGTTTTACAATTTTAATATGATAATAATTTTTTAACGATGAATTATTTTTTAAAAAAATTAAAACAACTAATAATTTTTTATAAAATAATTCTCAACAAAAATTAAAAATATGTCATAAGTCTTGTAATATTTATAAATAAATTAATATTTTAAATTTATTTATAATAAAAGCAACATATAAATATTTAGTTAAGAACAAATCTCAATGTTTAACTTGCATAAATAAAAAAAATCAAGTTGTGTGAAAGTGATGCACAAATTTTGTTGTAAAAGTGTCTGAAAAAAAATATAATTTTTAACATTGACGCAATAGATAATTGTTAACCGCGTAACCAAAACATGAAAACTATCGTGTCAGATGCGGATGTAAAATGTTTGACACGTTGACAAGCGAACAGAGCTGTAGATTTGTCCCTGTTCTTATATATTTGATGAAACATGTATTGGTCTTGAAATATAATTAAGAAACTCACCAAGACCAGCAGATATGCTTGTTGAACTGTGCCCTGCCCCAAAAGCATCATGAACACTCTCATCCCTTTTAGGAAATCCTGCTAACCCTGAAGTCTTTCTGATGGTGTGCATCCTTGACCTTCTTCCTGTCAGAATCTTGTGTGGGTATGCCTGCAATTTGGTCACTTCTTAGACCCTCCTCTTACACATGGCAAAGGAATAACACTTAATAACAAAGAAAATTTGTATGAAGGGAAGCAAAAATCTAAAATTTTAATTTTGAAAACATACGTGCCGTCCATTCCTACACTCATGGAAGAGTCCGCCTATCACGCCCCAACAGACCAGGTCACCCGAACCCCAGTCACTTCTTTGATAGCCAACAAGGCCGACACCACCGTTCACTCCCTAAGGCATCCTTTTTCCAGAAAAATAATGGAGGCAACACTGCTGGACCATTGGAAGAGCATGCCGATCAAGAAGTACGACGGATCATCCGACCCAGAAGAGCACTTGAATGTTTTCTTGACTCCAGCAACTCTTTCCACTCAAGACGACTCGGCTTTGTGCCTAATATTCCCCACGTCTCTAAAAGGAAGGGCCCTGGTTTGGTTCACAAGGTTACCGAGCTCTTCCATTGACTCGTTCAATGAACTGTCTTCCCAATTCACTCTCCAGTACGCAACGAGCAAGCCGTACAGGACGACCTCACTAGCCTTAGCGGGGGTTCGTCAAGAGAAAAAAAAGAGTCTGAGGACTTTCATGGACCAGTTTAATAAAATCGCAATGGAAATCGGCGACCTCAACCCTGCCGTGGCAATGGACCGGCTGAGCACGGCACTCAGGCCCGGACCCTTCGTAAACAGTTTGTGCAAAAAACCGCTGGTGGATATGAATGACCTCCGACGCCGAGCAGAAAAATACATGCAAATGGAGGAGTTGGCGGAGACCCGGAATCAGGCCAGAGCCGAGGAGGGTTATAGCCGAAAGGAGCCCGGACGAGAACCAGTGAGGAAGACCAACGCCGAGCCCCTAAATACCCGCCCCCCGAGAGGACCCCGCTATACAGCGTATACTCCCCTCAATGCAAGCAGGGCCAAAGTAATGGAGCAGGCTCTTGCGTCAGAAATCCTGGCGATGCCGAAAAGAGCGAACACGCCCCCTAGAGCCGACAAGGCAAAGAATTGCCGATTCCACCGAAACCGGGGGCACTCCACCGAAGAGTGTTCGGCATTGAAAGACAAGATCGAGGACCTCATCAAACAGGGTCACCTCAAAAGCTTTACCACCTCCCAAGACCACCAGTCAAGGGAAATAGACCATTCTCGTGAAACTCGTCCACCGAGGGACCGACGCCGCCGATCCCGTTCGGCTGAACGCCGAGACCGATCACAGCGTCCCAGGGAGGACAATGACCGAACACGGAAGGTGATCAATACAATAGCCGGGGGCTTTGCCGGAGGCGGCTCCTCCTCTTCAGCACGAAAGCGACACCTCCGAGCTATCCGATCAGTGAATAATGTGAACCAGCCAAGAATGCCAAAGATGCCACCCATCACTTTTACTGACCGAGATTTTCGTGGCGCCGACCCTGTACAAGACGATCCCATGGTAATTTCGGTCGAAATGCATAACTGCATCGTGAAGAAAACGTTGGTCGATCAGGGGAGCTCGGCCGACATCTTATATTGGAACACGTTCGTGCAACTAGGAATTCCAGAAGAAAGCCTAGAACCATATCACGAACCGTTAGTAGGGTTTTCTGGTGAAAGAGTAATGACGAGGGGGTGCATCGACTTGTACACTCGCTTCGGTTTCGACCAAAAGTCTTCCCGAGAAATCAAAATTCGTTACATCGTCGTGCATGCGAACACATCCAACAATGTCCTGCTCGGCCGACCCTCCATCAACGCACTCCGAGCCATCGTCTCGACCCCTCATCTGTGCATGAAGTTCCCGTCGAGAGATGGATAGGTAATAACCGTCCATGCCGACCAGAAGACAGCAAGAGAATGCTATCTCTCTAGCCTAAAGGTCCGTCCCGTATCCGACCCCCCGTCAACGTTGTCAGGCGTAAATGTAATAAGACAGATGACAGAGGGCTTAGATCTCGACCCACGCCTGGGTGAGGAGGATCGAATCGAGCCAGCCGAAGACCTCGTTCCTTTCCAACTCGGGCAAACACCCGAACAGGTCACACACATAGGATCTCAGCTGAACGAAAATGATTCGAACCAGGTGAAGCGAGCGGTTCGAGATAATAAAGACCTATTCGCATGGACAGCGTCGGACATGCCGGGGATAGACCCCAATTTCTTGAAGAGAAAGGCAGCCGATGCCGAGGTGAAAAAATTGTTGCAAGCAAAGTTCATCAGAGAGGTCACTTACACGACTTGGCTAGCCAACGTAGTATTAGTCAAAAAAACCAATAGGAAATGGAGAATGTGCACCGACTATACCGACCTCAATAAGGCCTGCCTCAAGGATGCCTACCCACTCCCTTGTATCGACCGACTAGTTGACGGAGCGTCCGGACATTCAATCTTCAGCTTCTTGGATGCTTATTCCGGTTACAACCAAATAAGGATGCACTCGGCCGACGAGGAGAAGACGGCGTTCATAACCGAGAGCGCCAACTTTTGTTATAAAGTGATGTCGTTTGGGTTGAAGAACGTCGGAGCGACCTACCAGAGGTTAATGGACAAGGTGTTTCAGGGACAAATCGGCCGAAACATCGAAATATATGTGGATGATATGGTAGTCAAGTCCAACTCTCTGTCCGGACACTTAGCCGACTTAGCCGAAATCTTCGGTGAGCTCCGCAAGCACAACATGAGACTCAACCCCGAAAAGTGCACCTTCGGGGTCAAAGGAGGCAAATTCCTAGGTTTCATGCTATCCGCGAGAGGCATAGAAGCGAACCGAGACAAATGCCAGGCCGTGTTAGACATGCGAAGCCCGAGCAACCTCAAGGAACTGCAGCGCCTCTCGGGAAGGTTGGTCGCCCTATCCCGATTCCTCCCACGGCTAGGCGACAAGATCAGTCCGATGACAAAGCTCTTGCGAAAGGCTTCGGCCTTCTCATGGGATGAACAATGCGAAGCCGCCTTCGCGACGTTGAAGACAACCCTGGCGACCCCGCCGACCCTCACGAAGCCCGATCCTCTAAGTCCGCTACTTGTGTACTTGGCCGTGTCCGAGGAGGCGACCAGTTCGGTTCTGGTGCAAGGAAAGGAAGGCACCCAGGCTCCTATATATTTTATCAGCCGATAGCTGCAGGATTCTGAAACCCGATACCAATTGTTAGAAAAAGTGGCACTCAGTTTAGTACATGCTTCCCGATGCCTATGTCATTACTTCCAAAGCCACCGAGTTATCGTGCATACCGACTGTCCAATCGCTAAGGTATTAAGCAAACCCGAACTCGCCGGAAGGATGATGGCCTGGTCAATGGAACTCTCGCAATTTGATATTACCTTTAAGCCGAGGGGACCGATCAAGGCCCAATGCTTGGCCGACTTCATAAACGAACTTCACCCTCACGGCCAATTTGAACAACAGTGGTGGACCCTCCATGTAGACGGATCCTCAAACAACCAAGGGAGCGGGGCAGGGGTAATCTTAGAAGGATCGAGAGGGATAACTTTAGAGCAATCTTTGCGCTTCCGGTTCAAAGCTTCAAATAACCAAGCCGAGTACGAAGCCCTATTGGCCGGATTGAGGTTGGTCGAGGACATGGGTGCAGCAAGAATCAAGTGCCGCACCGATTCCAAAGTAGTGGTCGAGCAGGTGGGCAGAAATTTTCAAGTAAAGGACCACATGATGTTGAGATACTATCATGCCTATCAAAAATTGAAGGCGAATTTCCAGGAGGTGCTGGTCGAACACATCCCCCCGCGAAGACAATACCCGGGCCGACCAGTTGGCTAGGTTGGCCGCAACCAAAAAGCCGGGCCACTTGAGAACGATCATTCAACAAGAGATCGACCACCCCAGCGTTGAAGCCGAGATGGTAGCAAATGTGGACGCTGAGCTAGCCGATCATGACAATCCCCCTGATTGGCGGGATGAACTAAAGGCATACCTCACCGGCGAAATCGCACCCACCGAACCGACCGAGGCCAACCGATTAAGAACCCAAGCCAGTAGATACGTTGTCATCGCCGGCCAGCTATACAAACGCGGTTTCTCTACCCCACTACTCAAGTGCCTAAATCCCACCGAGGCTGACTATGTGACGAGAGAAGTGCATGAGGGTATATGCGGACTGCATTCGGGGGCAAGGACGACCGTCTCTAAACTTCTACGAGCCGGGTACTATTGGCCGACCATGAACACCGACTGTGCAGCGTTCATAAAGAGATGCCAGCCATGCCAGAAACATGGCAACTTGATCCACCAACCGGCCGAGCAGTTACATTGCATTCCCCCGGCCTGGCCGTTCGCCACGTGGGGGGCCGACATACTCGGACCATTCCCACTTGCCAAGGGACAATGCAAGTTCCTCATTGTCGTCATCGACCTATTCACCAAATGGATTGAAGTCGAGCCGTTGGCATGCATTTCAGCTCATCAAGTCCAGAAATTTCTATGGAGGAACATCATTACCCGGTTCGGCGTCCCGCACACTCTGGTGACCGACAACGGCCTTCAATTTACCGACCGAAAACTAAATGAATTCCTGAACATCTTGGGCGTACAACATAAGGTCACGTCGGTCGAACACCCGCAGACGAATGGTCAGGCCGAGTCGGCCAATAAAGTCATCTTGGTAGAGTTGAAGAAACGCCTTGGAGAAGCAAAAGGGGCATGGGCCGAGCAGTTACCCGAAGTGCTATGGGCTTACCGATGCACCCCCCCAGTCGACTACACAAGAAACTCCTTTTCGCCTAGTCTATGGATCCGATGCAATGATCCCAGTGGAAATTGGAGAACCTTCGTTCCGCCGAGCCCGCTACGACGAGTCGAACAACGAAGCCGAGCTCCGGGCAAACCTGGATGGCGTGGAAGAAATTTGAGACCGAGCACAAGTTGTGGCTGAGGCCACCAAACAACGTTACAAAAGAAGATTTGACAGCCGGGTAAAACCTAGAGAATTCCGCGAAGGCGATCTCATTTGGAGAGCCACAGGCGAGGCAAGGAAAGATCCGAGACAAGGGAAACTCGCCCCAAATTGGGACGGCCCCTTCCGAATCCGACACAACCTGAATAACGGAGCGTACAAGCTGGAACACCTATCAGGAGAACCAATTCCGAGAACTTGGAATTCTTCTCATTTGAAAATGTATTACAACTGATGTAACAGTGCACTCTTTTCCTTAGCCGACTCTTTTTTTCCTAAGGAGGGTTTTGGGTCGACAAGGTTTTTAACGAGGCACTTCATTAATAAAAGTTCCAAAATCTCATTATATCATTTGCAATTTCATTGTATGCCCAGGTCGAGCACTACGCATCAAAGCAGTGAAACCGACCAACGCTCGGTCGACGACAAAAAACGCACTCGCGCCCCAGGCCGAGCACTACGCACAACGCGTACTAAACCCCGAGCAATCCTCGGTCAAGTTTGAAACGTGCACTCGCACCCCAGGTTTCCCTCCCGAGTACCCTCCTCGGCTAAGGATGTGCCTGGGCCGAGCACCATGTCTACGGCGACGACACCGACCAACGTTCGGTCGACGACAAAAAACGCACTCGCGCCCCAGGTCGAGCACTATGCACAATGCGTACTAAACCCCGAGCAATCCTCGGTCAAGTTTGAAACGTGCACTCGCACTCCAGGTTTCCCTCCCGAGTACCCTCCTCGGCTAAGGATGTGCCTGGGCCGAGCACCATGTCGACGGCGACGACACCGACCAACGTTCGGTCGACGACGAAAAACGCACTCGCGCCCCAGGCCGAGCACTACGCACAACGCGTACTAAACCCCGAGCAATCCTCGGTCAAGTTTGAAACGTGCACTCGCACCCCAGGTTTCCCTCCCGAGTACCCTCCTCGGCTAAGGATGTGCCTGGGCCGAGCACCATATCGACGGCGACGACACCGACCAACGTTTGGTCGACGACGAAAAATGCACTCGCGCCCCAGGCCGAGCACTACACACAACGCGTATTAAAACCCGAGTAATCCTCGTATGAACACAAGCCGAAGCTTCGATGACCCAACGTTCACGAAAACCGAACACACTCGTATAAACAAACACAACGCGCATCGAACACCGTCATAAATCACAAAATCTGACCTCTCGGCCACACACACAACTCGGTTTATAATCATTGAACACTTGTAAACACGGAAAGTTAACATTCAATTAAGAACAAGTATTGCCGACCACAGCGGCTACTTACAAAAAAATATCTACCGGCGCCGATGGCCAAGTTACAAAAAGGCACTAACGGCCCGGTTACAAAAAGCAAGCAAACCTACTCTACTAGAATCGGTTCCTACACTGCGGCCGAGACGTCTGGATTACCGTCACCTACCACGTCTATAATTGGGTCATCTTCCTCCGTAGACGGAGGTACCGGCGCATGCGTGGAGATGCCTCGGCGGGGAGCCTCGTCATCAGGGCTGGCTCCCTTCGGGAACTCGGCATAACTGATGTTCTTACCCCCGTAAAAATCTCGGCCGACGTCAAAGTTAAAGTCAACCGGGAGCTCGCAGAAGTACTGAGCTTGTCGGACCGCTTGCTGGAATCCCGCATCGTGTTGTTCGAGGATCTTTTCGGTGGCCTTGGCTTTGAGTTTGGTATGCGCCTCAGCCAACCAAGCAATCTCAGCCGCCGCGGCCGCGACCTCAACTTTCATCCTCTGCACTGACAACTTCAAGTCATCGGCCTCCCTCCTATAGCCATCGGCCGATCTCTTTAGTTCGTCGGCTGACTCTGTGACCTTAGCATTCGCAGCCAAGGCCTCCTTCACTATTGCCTCAGCCTCCTTTAACCCGGTCTGAAGTCGCTCAGTCAAGACCGCCGACCT